AGCGCCGAAGGCCTTCTGGTGGTTCCCTCACTGCGAGAAGCAAAGCTACAGGGAACCAGGCAGAGGGCCTTCTCGGTAGTGGCGCCCTCCCTGTGGAACGCCCTCCCACCAGATGTCAAAGGAAAAACAACTACCAGACTTTTAGAAGACATCTGAAGGCAGCCCTGTTTAGGGAAGCTTTTCATGTTTGATGCATTACTGTATTTTAATATTTTGTTGGAAGCTGCCCAGAGCGGCTGGGGAAGCCCAGCCAGATGGGAGAGACATAAATAATACATTATTATTATTATTATTATTATTATTATTATTATTATATGAAACCCTCAGTGGGGTAAAGTAAGTTACAGTTTTTGACAGAGGGTTTTTGAGAGCTGTCTTTTCCTGCTGGTGCAGGAGTGCTAGAATAAGATCCTTTTGAGAGTTTATGGTGAGAGGATCAAGGGAGAGGGAAATTGGAGAGAAAAGCATCCTCTCTGCTGAGAAGGCACTGAAAAGCTGATCGTACACCCCCACCCCTTCCCTGTTGGTTGACTGAAGAGGGAACAAGTCACTCTTTATAGTGGTCCAGAACACTTCCCTTTGCAGGGAGCAAACTCTACTTGCAAGTAATGGTCTTTGTGAGCCTGCAGAACTTGGTTGTATCTAGGGTGTATGGATGTGTGGATGCTGAACAGAAAGGGGCGCAGAAACCAGGTGTTTTTAAGTCACTGGGCAACAGTTATCTCCCTGGCCTGACTTTCAACCCATTGCCTTCTTTAGCCCTTTCAAGACTTTGCAGACACAAGTTATAGGGGAAAATGTGAATTAAATTAAGCCCAAGTTCTGTATTGCTTTGCTGCTTTGTGTAGTGTAGTGTAGTGTTGAATGTCATATTATCTCTTTCAACAGGGAAGCTGAGATATGCAAACAACAGCAATTATAAAAATGATGTCATGATCAGAAAAGAAGTAAGTTGACTGTGTTTAAATAATTTATAGAATTTTTGTGTCCTACAGTGTGAGTTCTCTGGGTACCTCACAACACAAATTAAAATATAAATGTAAGATAAAACGTAAGTGTTAAAATCTAATTAATGCATATTTAATTTAATTTTTATTAATTTAGCTAATAAAAACAAATTAAGCAGGTGTATTTTAATTGTATTTTTGTGATTTAGAGTGACCAGTGGATGTATTGAGTTTATATAACTGCATCCAATGCAAGCCATTAAATTTGCCTATTACTGTCTTTTACTACATATCTAATGTTCCCCTTTTAGCTGTATTATTGAAACTTGGACTCAAAATATTTAGTTGTAGCTAATAGAATTTAGCTTTTATCTTCACACATCTTAAGTGTATGTATTTGGATAGTAAAAATCTGCAAACTGCAAAAAATGTCATAAATAATCTATGTCTGTATCTCAAAAGTTACATCTAGTATTCACTCTATAAAATCGTTTGCAGATGTTTTGCCCAATATATGCTGAGCTCATTCCAGTGGATAGCAAAACATGTACTTAGTTGTTGATCAAAATAAATTAATACACATGCTTCAACAAGAAGTTAGTGAGCAAACGACACACACTTATTTCTGTACTAGACTTTATTTTAAAGTTAAAATGCTACTATTTCCATGCTGCTCTAGGCCTACGTACACAAAAGTGTGATGGAAGAGTTAAAGAGGATAATCGATGACAGTGAAATCACGAAAGAAGATGATGCATTATGGCCGCCTCCTGACAGAGTTGGCCGGCAGGTTAGCAAATTCATGGCTTCCCATAAAAATATTTTAAGTTGACAGGTGTACAGAAGTTAATGTTTACACATGCAGCTGCTATTTCTGTAAACAGATGGGTAGAAATCTTATATCTGTTTCTAGTGAACAGAATATCTTGTTGGAGTAGATCTTGAAAGACATCTGGGAAAAAGTTATTGGAGGTGGGAACGAGGCGTCCATATCTCTCCCCTCTTTCTTTCTTTCTTTCTCTCTCTCTCTCTCTCTCTCTCTCTCTCTCTCTCTCTGTGTGTGTGTGTGTGTGTGTGTGTGTCTGGGTAGGTGTGAAATGGTCATATTATTATTGATCTTCAAACAGTGCTCTGAAATTATTTATTTATTTATTTATTTATTTATTTTTCCAGGAGCTTGAAATTGTAATTGGTGATGAACACATCTCTTTTACCACATCAAAAATTGGTTCTCTTATTGATGTAAATCAGTCCAAGTAAGTGCTCTTTGACCAGCCGCTACAACCGTGGTAGTGCTCTTTTTGAAGACTATTCACTAAGCTAGTTTTGTTAGCGGATTGGGAAGAAGGTGAGGCAGAAGCAGTGCAGCTCTGTCCGGTTGTCTTGCTTAAGATGCCTTTATAAATGCTGTACCATGTATTTGTGGCCAAGCTGGAAATACAGTTATTACATTGATTTTAAGTAATAATAATTTAGCAAACCTGAAGAACAGCATGTAGAATTTGTCTCAGCTTTGGCATTGCATTATTTGCTCACTCATTTAACTCATTCTACCCTGAGGACAAGCAAAACCTTTCATAAACGCCCTACTAAAGCCATCTGGTTTATCCCCAGCTTCTAAAAGCCAGCCAAAGAAATCTTGCAGTACAGTGGTTTAAGAACATCTCTGTTTACGAACTATTCAGTTTACGAACTCTGCAAAACTGGAAGTAGTGTCCCTGTTTGCAAACTTTATCTTGGTCTAAGAACAGAAGCCGAACGGTGGAAGGGCATTGGTGGTGGGAGGCCTCATTAGGGAAAGCACACCTCGGTGTAAGAATGGTTTCGGTTTAAGAATAGACTTCCAGAACGGATTAAGTTCGCAAACCTAGTTACCACTGTACTACCAAAAGATGCTTGAATTTTGATAAGTGACTAGGAGATTCTCATACTGAGTTCCTGAAAGAAAGTATGATTATGAGTTGGTCACATAATATTTTAAAAATATTTTATTTCTGTTTGTTTTTCCTTTTGCACTTCAGGGATCCAGAAGGTCTAAGAGTGTTTTACTACCTTGTCCAGGACCTCAAGTGTCTCGTCTTCAGTCTCATTGGATTACACTTCAAGATTAAGCCAATTTAAATTGTATGGATTTAAATTTGTACTGTAAAGTTTCTTTCGGTGGGGTCACTTTCCATTCCTTATCTCTCATTGGTTTTATGTGTGTCAGATTTTTTACAGAGTGAATTTAATAAATGCTAAAAAGCTTTTTTTCCTTTTTATTTAAAATGTGTTTGTTATCAATGCTAACTTTGGGGAAAGCATTAAGATTTTTTTAAAGTATGGCTGGCTTAATTTCTGCTGGGAAGGGAAGAGGAGGGTCAGCAACACAACAATGGACATTTTTAAGTATCTGTTAATCTATCCCTTTTTAGTGAGGTTTTAATGAGGACTAGATATTTGATATTCCTGTGCAGTATTGAGGCTCATTCTCGGATGCCAACACTATTAATACATGGAAGAGCTGTTTCATACATTGCAATGAATGTGTCTACTTGCTTTGAAACATTACAGCTGAGAGTAGAATCCTTTCTCCAGAGTTCCTGAAAAGTGAAAAAAGAAGAAATTTGCAAGGATTGGATAACAATCTCCACTAAAAGATTGTTGAAGAAGGTGTTTCTTAGGTGCCAAAGGAAAATAGATATGAAACTTGTCTGATACATAACAGGAGCAATGAGCAGTGAAGTCGTCAAGTTTGCTGCTGAAACCAAATTGCTTTGGTATCAGGGTGGTTAAAAAAATAAGGGGTTGCAGAGAGCTCCAGAAGAATCTCTCCAAATTTGGCAAATGGACAGTTAAATGGCAAGTGCAATTCAGTGTAAGCAAGTGTTACACACTGGGGCAAAAGAAATGATTTTGCACATATGCCCATGGACTCTGAAGTGGTGGTTTCTGACCAGGAACAAGACCTTGTAATTGTAGTGGATATCTCAAAGATGTCAACCCAGTGTACATACAGCAGCTGTGAAAAAGGTGAATACTGTGATAGGAATCATTAGCAGGAAGACTGAAAATAAAACGGCTGTACCAGCCTTGGGTGCAAGTGCACTTGGACTGTGTTACCTATGTTTTAAAAAGCACCCTCTCCCTTTCGAAACTAACAAAAATGGCACAAGTATTGTTAGGGAAGTGGGACTCGGGGGATACTGTACACCATGCAAAACATGTCTGCAACACTTCTGCCCACATTGTACTCATTGCAATGGGACCACTAGCTGGGGAATGCACTTTTTCAGAGACTATTATATCTGAAGGGCTAGGAAAGGAGAGTGTGATTTTCTGTACGAGCAGGGTAGCTAGGTCTACAGTATTTTAAGCTGGAAATCTTTTATCATAACTGGCTAAATCCTAATATCCTGAATCGTTAGTATGTTGCTGTAAAAAAAAAAAGCCTAATTGAGAAAGCAAGTATGCCTAAGAGTTGTAGCGCTATGCAACCACTTGGTAAAGCAAACTGATAATTTATCAGGAACACTGCTAAAGTTTGTGTAGATTATAAAACATCAAAAAGTATTAGCTCATTTGCAGACTATTTTCTAGGGTTTTTTTATTCTTTGATAAGAATGCATATCCACCCTCCACCTCAAAAAATGCAAAAATAAAAACAAGACTTGAATCTTACATGGAAATGGACTGCAGGGTGAAGGTTGTTTTACAAAAAATAAAAAGTGCTGCAAATGTAACTACAGGCGACACTCAATTTATGCTGGGATTACTGTCCAAGGATAGTGCCTAAAGCCAGAATCGCTATAGTCAAAACACATTGGGTTCAGTGGTGGGTGGTGTGTAGGCAAGTGCTTTTAAAACCAGAGGCATTTTCCTGTTTAAACTCTGGGTGGCTATCGCTGGCATGTAATCCACCTCACGCAGTATTGAATCTCAAGCACCTCATCCTTGTTCCCTGGACGCCTCCTCAGGATAGGCTGGCTAATGGATCGACGATCTAGTTTAGCTGAGGGGCAGCCATCTTGAGTAAGGGCAAGTTCCAGCTTCGGCGCCGCTTACAGACGAATAGGGCTGGGCAACACGGGAGGCGCAAGAAAACGGCAAGGTATCAAGTCTCGTGAGGCTTGATTCACAGCGGCCCCGCCCTCTGAGAGACGCTGGGTCTCTGCAAAGCCCCCGCAGCTCCTGTGTGATCCTGCAAGTGTTTGGGAAGGAAAGCAGGCTCGCTCGCCTCCTAGGCTTTCCTCTGGCCGCCTGAAGCCATGGGGGTAAGAGAAAGCTTCACCTGTGCAAAGACGACGTGAGTTGGGGCTGGGGCTGGGAATGCCTCGAGTACATGAGCTGACACGGTGACTTCTCTTTGCAGAAGATCGGGCTGCAGCTCAAAGCCACTCTGGAAAATATTACAAATCTCAGGCCGGTGGGGGAGGATTTCCGATGGTATCTGAAGGTAGGGCCTTCGACGGCTGTTACCTGTGCACGCTATACACAGACACACAAACGCTCCATGCACTTAGTTTGCAATGACAATATTTCCTCTGTTGCTATTAACGTGCACGTCGATGTTGTTTACTGGCCGAAGGATGAAAGCATTAAAACCGCATTAAATTTAGCAGTGTTAAAAGTGGCAGGAAATGTTATTACACGACCTAAGCCGTCAGTTAGTGGGATTTGCTGGCTCTTGGTGCATTGTAAGTTTTTGCAGAGTGCCTTTCTCTCCTCATTAACCACAACCAATATCCCATACATCTGGGATTAGGATTCATTTTATGAAATCAGTGGATATTGTTTCATAGCTTGGCTTGAGCCCCAACACTACAGTTGCTGCTATAGACATTTTTTCCCTACAATTTGTCACCATTGCATTGTGTACTATGTTCATCTCACTGGTTCTTTTTTGCCATCTTATTGCTCTTTGTTAGCATTTCTGCCATGCAGTTGGCAACTGGCATGCTTTCAAATGAATATGCAAGCAATGCACTCTCATGCTGCCCACCACACCTATGGGTCCTGTGCACTTACTGTTGGAAACTCAATGGGACTTGTTTCTGGATAATTATACCTATGATTGTGTGGTCTGATATATAAATATTGTAGTCATGATTATAGTGAAAGTGCACACTAACAGGTTTGGACCAACTTAGGCTGCAGCAAATGCAGTTGTATGTCGTTTCTGCAATGTAAGGGTGGAAATTCGGTGCTTGTGCACCACCAATAGCACATTTCCCTTCTATAATTCATTCTAGGAAGCCTCTCAAATCTGTGAGACTGCTTTTGTGCTATATCTGGGGCTAATTTCCGACCATATGAAAGTTGTTGGTTTAATTGTTGGTGTTTAAGTTGTTGTGGTCTTCTTTTTCATGGGAGTGCTACTTCTGCGATTTGTGTCCATTGCATACCTTTGTTTTTGAATCTTAACATCATCATTATTTTTTGTTTACCTGTTCTGCTGTTGACTCCTCTAAGTGCCTCATTGTTTGCGTCTGGTTTTCTTTTCTTTTTCAGTTGAAGTGTGGAAACTGTGCTGAGGTTTCAGAAAAATGGCAATATCTACGATTAATGGTAGGTCTCAGAACTACAACACAAGCATGCTAAGTTATCCGTTTGTTGTCTGTGTGACATACACAGATCTATATTTGACTCAAATGATGCTGGAATATGATAAAGTTACTTCTGGAAAACTGATTATATATAAATCTTCCTCGGTGGCAAATCAACAAGTCTGAACAAACAGATTCAGCCTGAATCTAGAAGGAGCCCTTGGGAGGTGTGATGGTCATAAATATAAAAAATGTATAATTGTTAGCCGTTTATATAAGATGGTTTGTAACACTACAGCTCCGCTATAGCAATAGATTTGCATGTGTGCAACAGAGCTTTCTTTTCCTTTCTTGCCCCTCCAGCTTCAGTCTGCTCCAGAGTAGATCTTTGGAGCACACGAGGATGAGGGGAAATAGAAATCTAGCTGATGCTGTGGAAACCAACTAGCACAGCATTCTATATATCCCATAGCTTATATGTTCAAAAAATCTCTTGCAAATTAACTGCATCCATGTGGAAGCTTAACATCCCCTCCAACACACAGGGAAATGCACTTTTGTTATATGTACAAGGTGGACTGGAGTTCAAACAAACAAACATCAATGGGTTATTTTTTAGGCATTTTCTCAGGTAATTGCAGATGTTTTAGACTACAGTTCCATCAGCCTTAGCCAACACTTTACAGGATTAGGATTAGCCATTATTGCTGGGGAAAATAACTTTGTTTCCTGGTGTCTCTTCCTCTAAACTGTGAATGCCTTGATCTTGATGCCCCCCTTTGACATTTTTTTTAGGACAGCCACCCTCTCAAAGGAGGCAGGGGAAGTGCCACAATGGTGCAGAAATGCAAACTGTGCTCCCGAGAAAACTCCATAGGTAAGCCTATTCATGCACCTCCATGCCAAAGGCACAAAGAAGCCAAAGACTTGATTCTCTGCAGGCTGTGGGACCCAGTTAGATTTTCAAAATGGAGGGCTGAATATACTAAATTAGAGGGATATCTTATAAGAAAATACAATTGGGGGGTGTAATATTCCCCCAAAGCCAGGGACTATTGAGTACGATCTTTCCAAGCTTTATTCCAAGCTGGAACAAGTGGCATTCCATTTTGGCTAACCTTATAAGGATTTTCACTTCTGTTGTGTAGTGTCACTATTAAAATCATCCTTACCATGCCATCTCTGCCTCCAGCATTGCTGGTTCCATTTGCTTTATGCTGTATTTGAGCCTAGTTGTCTATTCTTCCCTTGTTCCTATTTTTGAATGCACTTCTATTCCGCCTCGCTCCTCACCCCTTTTCAAGTGGACTTCTATTATTATTATTATTATCAACATTTTCTCACAGACATTGCAGTATTGCCATGCTACAAGCACAATTGTATGACATCCAAGGGGCAAAGGGGAAGTAGGTAAGAAATGCTGTCTCATAAGGACACCATGTGCAGCCTGTGGAAAACAGCCAGACCCAGTTTGTGTCATTCCCATCCACACACATTTTTTTTGTACCCTGACAAGCTAAAGTCCCATGAAGTTTGCCTAGTTCTGACAGGCAGCCATGTTAAGGGGCGCTGGGCATGCCAGCAGTGATGTTTGCAGTACAGATAGTAAACGCTCAGTTAAATGCTGAAGGAGCGTGTAATTGGAACTGACAATAAGCAGCAAATGACTGCAAGGCCCAAGTGACTAAGTTCTGCACAGCTAGACAGGACTTAACTGTTTGGCATAATAATGCTCAGCATTAGTTCCAGTGGAGGTCTTTTTGTGCAATTCTATATATGTCTACTCAGAAGTGAGTTCGATAGGGCTTGCTCCTAGGTAAGTATGTATAGGATTGCAGTCTTTACCCCCATGTATTCGTTCACATTCTATTTTTGAATGGGCCAAATGTGAAGTAGCTAAGCGGATTTGTTTGTTTTTATGTGTATACAGTGGTACCTTGGTTTACTAACTTAATCCGTTCCGGAAGTCCGTTCCTAAACCAAAGCGTTCTTAAACCAAGGCATGCTTTCCCATAGCAGTGGGGGACTCAATTTACAAATGGAACACACTCAACAGGAAGCAGAACATGTTCTGCTTCCAAGGCAAAGTTCACAAACTGAAACAACTACGTACGGGTTTGCAGCATTCTTAATTCAAGTTGTTCATAAACTAAGCTGTTCTTAAACCAAGCTACCACCCGGGACGCGGGTGGCGCTGGGGGTAAAAGCCTCAGTGCCTAGGGCTTGCCGATCGAAAGGTCGGCGGTTCGAATCCCCGCGGCGGGGTGCGCTCCTGTTGCTCGGTCCCAGCGCCTGCCAACCTAGCAGTTCGAAAGCACCCCCGGGTGCAAGTAGATAAATAGGGACCGCTTTCTAGCGGGAAGGTAAACAGCGTTTCCGTGTGCGGCTCTGGCTCGCCAGAGCAGCGATGTCACGCTGGCCACGTGACCCGGAAGTGTCTCCGGACAGCGCTGGCCCCCGGCCTCTTGAGTGAGATGGGCGCACAACCCTAGAGTCTGTCAAGACTGGCCCGTACGGGCAGGGGTACCTTTACCTTTACCTTTTACCAGTGTGTGTGTGTGTGTGTGTGTGTGTGTGTGTGTATTCCAATGATTTTATTTCCCATTTAAACTAAGATTTACAAGCATCCTGCCAAACTTTTGCCATTTTTTCCTCCCTTAGGAAGCTTGCCATTCTTGGAAAGGGAGAGCCAACAGAACAAACCAATTGTCTCTCCCCCGATGCCGGGCTAGGAAGTGGTGGTGGATTGAGCAGACGAGCCCCTCCACTCTGCTTTACTAGCTAAAAAAACTTCTATAGTTACAGGGTATGTGGGCATCCTCACTGGTAGGAGGGGGAATTAGGAGCACACCGTAAATGGCTCAGGTTGCAGTCTTAAACTCGCTTTCCAGAATTCGGTAGAACTTACTTGGTTAGGAGTGCACAGCTACACGTCATCTACTTTTTCTCCTTTCCCGAATTTATAAGTAGAGACACCTGGTTTTCAAAACTGTTTGATACCAAAGGAAATGATGCACACAATGTGATTTCCACTGTTCTTTCATAGATGTGCTTCATTGCTATGTATTTTCCACTTCTTTCAGATATCTTAAGTCATACAATGAAGCCTTACAATGTAAGTTTTGTTGTGTTTTTGTTATTGTGGATGTGGTATACTGGTCTTATTGGGCTTGATCCACACAGCCACAGTTTTGAATGACTCTCTGCATGTGGCTAGTACTATAAATGGGAGATAAACACAAGTACCTGGATTTACATATGGGTATGCATTCATCTTTGCATTATGATTCCCCATTGTAAGCCTCCCTGACAATTTTGTTGGAGCTCAGCCTATAGAGAACCAAGCAAATTATGATGGATACTAATTATTCGTATTGTGTTGATACTCTGTCTGCTCATGGAAAGCCGAGTGGCGGATGTGTTCTTGTTTTCCATGTGTAGTGAGATCCCCTTAGAGTTGTACATGCGGAACAATTCTGCAGTGTGAGGAAGGCAATTGGGCAGATTAATTTAGTCTTCGATCCTAGAAACACTTACCTGGAAATAAGTTCCATTGAACTTGGAACTTACTTCTGAGTAGCTATGTTTAAAATTGCATTGTAGGTGATTCAATCACAGGACCTTCCCAAATGTTTGTATTTTTGCCACTCTAGGATAGAGAGGGAAAATATTTGTGCTGCTTTACATGAAAGCATTATTTGAGCATGCAGAACGCTACAGAAATGTAGTGATACATTCTGAGGATATTTCAAATCCATTGGATAGGAAGATGTTGTCAGCATTGCCCTTGAGCTAGTGCCACCAACTGGACTTATCCACTTCAGCCCCGACTGGGCTAGGCGAGCTGGGTAGCACTTCCAGAGACCACCTTCTGCACAGGAACAGGTCAAAGTGCTGTGGACTCACAGCTTAGAGTTGTGAGCACCGGATTCACTCCAACAAGAAGACAGTCATCGCACAGCAGAGTATAGCAGAGTATAAATGACTCTGAGAGCAGCTCTGTAGAATATCTTCTTTATTCTATCTACAACTATAATACACAACTATATACAGAGCTAAATGAGGTCTAAACGAAAATGCTGAACTGCGCTAGCAGCAACCTTATCTATACACACAATCTCTCTCTAACACACAGTCTCTCTCTCTCTTTGATGTGAGGCTGGAGCGAAATAAGTAGAGAGCAGAAAACTGCCCTCTCCTCTGGAGAATCAGCAGATTCTTGGATATGGGAGGGGTGAAATCTCCTCAGATGTAACCTATTTTTATTAATTTGTCGTACTCAATGCATGCTTGATTCAACAGATATTTGATTGTTGATTATTTCGCTACAGCCTGTAGCTTAAAATGAGCTTCGGTGTTCAAGGTGGAATGTACATTTTCTTTTACCTTTTTGCATAACACTTGAATGTTTGCTTTTCTACTTTTCCTGGGAGGGTGAAACTATTCAACAAAAGTTCCTGAGTAACTATTAGTGTTAGAATCATTGCAGTATTTTGTATCTTTATGGGATATGATCATTTTGGAAATTTTGTGTTCAGCCTATTTTTATTCCTCTGATGTTACTTTGGCTTCATCCTAGGCTGAAGACAATGAGACATTTAAGACCATAGTGGAGTTTGAGTGCGTGGCCTTGAACCAGTGGACTTTCAACCACAGGCAAGTTCTCATGAATGTTCTGCTGAGCATGAACCCTAAATTATAATTTAACTTGCTTTTCAGTAAATAGTCCCTTTGGGACCTAGTAACACAACCAGGAGGCAAGAGACAGATGGTGATTTCCTAAACATATATTTCTTGATAAAGTGACATGTGAAATAGGTACATTTACAAGCTATTGGGCAGGATTCCACCAACAGTGGAAGCTCACGCAAGGACTTCTGCTAGCGCAACAGGACTCCCCCCCCCCTGCCGCCAATGGAGAGGCTTGGGGAATCCCCGGAACAGTGAAAGGGGGGGGGGAGAGGGCAGATTGTTCAGTTAGACAAGCATAAATGCTTCTGCTGATGGAGCAAACTGCTTAGTGCTTCCTTGAATTCCTCCCAGTACAGTATATTCTGAAAATCCTGAAATTATGCGGCACCCAAAATCCTACAAATTTTCAGCACACAGCAGGTGGTAGGAAATTCTGAGACTGGATAAGGGAGAATCAGCACAGGAGACTCCACATGTTCATGTAGACATAAGTTCTAGTTTTATATCTGCACAGGCCACAAACCTTGCAAGGTCAGTGGCCCTGAATTTTTTCCTATTGTCCAAAGGCAGCCTGCTTTTAAAAAATGGATGAAGCACTGTATATTTGCAGAAGGAGGTGGGGTAGTCATTCTATTAGCATCTACCAGGAAACAAGGAGTATAGGTATTGGGAATTATACATTGCATTATTTACACTGATCATTGCTGTTTCCTCTGTAATATGTCTGAATGCTGCTTGTTCCTTTAACAGCCAGCAGGGGGCAGCTGGCCCATTCGAGACACTCTAGCAAAAATTTCAGTTCTCTACTAAACAAAATACAGTGTTTGGATCTCTTTATAAAATCTTACATAATACAAAGACTTGAGATTTCTTGTAGCACAGAGCATCTTCACGCAATAAACACTTAAGTTGTGCTGCAGTAAATCTGTTAGGGCTGAATCCAGTGCTAGTCGTAGATGTAGACTAAGTTAGGTTCATCGTTGTCAGGATGAGCAAAACTTAGTTGGATGTGGGATTTAGACTTCAAGGTGCCACAAGAGTCTACTTTTTGCTGCGACAGATCAACAGGGAGCCTTCCAGAGTTTCAGCATGGAGTGTTTTCAAAGCCTTCCCTAGACATGCCAGGAAAAAAGTAGTAGTAGAAGTAGTAGTAGTAGTAGTAGTAATTATTATTATTATTATTATTATTATTATTATTATTTATTATTAAAATTATTATTTATACCCCACCCATCTGGCTGAGCTTCCCCAGCCACTCTAGGTAGCTCCCAATTGAGTGTTAAAAACAATACAGCATTAAATATTAAAAGCGTCCCTAAACAGGGCTGCCTTCAGATGTCTTTTAAAGATAGGATAGCTGCTTATATCCTTCACATCTGAAGGGAGGGTGTTCCACAGGGTGGGTGCCACTACCAAGAAGGCCCTCTGTCTGGTTCCCTGTAATCTCACTTCTCACAATGAGGGAACCGCCAGAAGGCCCTCGGTGCTAGATATCAGTGTCCGGGCTGAACGATGGGGGTGGAGACACTCCTTCAGGTATACAGGACTGAGGCTGTTTAGGGCTTTAAAGGTCAGCACCAACACTTTCAATTGTGCTCAGAAACGTACTGGGAGCCAATGCAGATCTCTCAGGACCGGTGTTATGTGGTCCCGGCGGCCACTCCGTCACCAGTCTAGCTGCTGCATTCTGGATTAATTGCAGTTTTTGGGTCACCTTCAAAGGTAGCCCCATGTAGAGCGTGTTGCAGTAATCCAAGCGGGAGATAACTAGAGCATGCACCACTCTGGCGAGACAGTCTGCGGGCAGGTAGGGTCTTAGCCTGTGTACCAGGTGGAGCTGGTAGACAGCTGCCCTGGACACAGAATTAACCTGCGCCTCCATGGACAGATGTGAGTCCAAAATGACTCCCAGGCTGCGCACCTGGTCCTTCAGGGGCTACCTTCATGCAACACAGCTGCTGAACCAATGAGCAATGGTCCTTCCCACACAGCTGTCCCCATGGATGGCATCTCAGCTGTGTTTCCAAGAATTCAGATCTGGTGCAGGAATGTATAGTTCTATATAGTTATGTGTAGATCTCCTTTGTTACACAGGAGAGTTCCTTTGTTGCTTCTTTCCACCTGTATTGTTCCCCATATGGCTGTGTTCTAAAGAGATTTCTCTGTTTATAGGCTGGGTTTTCTGCAGAAGGCGCAGAATCTGGCACACGTTTTGATGACATCAACTTGTTGGAAAAGGTACTGTCTCTGAAAAAAACTCTTATTAAAATAACTTCACCTGCCCCTCTACCCACCCAAACAGACTTTTCAAACTTTTTACGTTTGAAAAGTTAGCCCCGCATCCTTATATTAAATGTATCCACCACTATAAATTTTTTGGGGCCAGAAGAGATTATCCTGCTTGCTTAGTGCTAAACAGGGGAGGGCAGTCAAGTAAAGGCAGAATCACTTTGAATCTAGCCTCTCATCTGACAGGTTCTGGGTGGCAATCTTTCTACTTTGGGCTTTGTGGTTCTCGATATTCCTTTTACCTTCTTGCAGCCAAACTAGATGTAATGTTAATGGAAATAAAGGGCATATATTAATTACAGAAATAGCAGCCGGAATGATACCAGGGCAGCCTCAAGATTTCTGGCAAGGGGTGTATGAGCTCTTTCTCAATCACAATATCAGCAAGAATACCATTCTAACACTGCTATTTATGTACCAAAGAAAGCTCCCATGGGAGCGGCATGAGAAGCTCCAACTTTGTGGTAGTATAATGTAGGGACAGGTGCAGCCCTGGAGTATTTAATATATGCAAAAATACAAGTTCTGGGAATACAAATTCAGATTGACTTCACTGTTGTTCTCTGTAGTGTTAGATGGTGTCAGATAAACTCTTGGAAAACTCAGGCTAGCCAATCTTCACTCATAGCCTTCCTCAGCTGTGAGCAGCAGTGTCTGGATCAGCTCCATTTCTTGGCCACAAAGATCAGTCTCTCTGGTGACCCATCAATAGCTCAACCAATTTAATCCTTTCAACTAGGGGAGATGGCAAGTAAGACTGTGGACTTCACACAGAAAATCTGATTCCTTATACTAAAGATGTTCAACTTGAAGCTAATTTTTTTTAAAAAAAATACTAGGGTTGCAAGGAAGTTCATAATGTGCCTGGAATTCAGGCTGGACTCCTAAGCAGAGAATTCTAAAATTGTAATGTGTATTTAACTCCACAGGACTGGAATGACTACGATGAAAAAATAAAGGAATCTGTTGGCATCTATGAAGTGACACATAGGTTTGTCAAATGTTGAAGCTTTTGTTTTGTGTGGGATCATTTTCTACGTGGCCATGTTTAAATTGTGTTTACAGAACCTAGAATAAAAGTCTTCTACTTTCTGCAGGATTTATTTTTCAAAACTTGTGGGCTTAGCTTTTTTATTATACCAAACTCTAAAGAATAAATGCAAATAAGAATATTTATGCAGAAAAATATACTAGTTTTTAATCATGCTTACAGTTAGGTTAATGCTGGGATTGCCTCTTCAAAGAATTTGATTAACGTTTACTCATGTAAGGCCCAAGAGCTTTCATAGGAGGGTGGGAAAGATACTCGCTCACCTATTGTAATAACTATTATTGCCATTAAAGTTCTTGGCTTCTCTCACATTTATGTATAATTGCAAGTGCCTTATACCTAGAAATGTATTTTGAAATCTTAAGAAGCTATTGGATATATCTAATTAGATTTCCAAGGTTAGCTGACTAAACAGTCTTAATAATGCAATTCCATATTGTTCAGGTGCAGCCCCAGGCCTTCTAGAGAGGCTTTTGGGGTGAGGGATGCAGATGACTGTAGAAGGGAGGGGAAGATGGGAAAGTTGAAGTTCATGCAAGTAACATTAGTATCCAGGCCAGCATTTTTTAGAGTGTTTATTATAATAAAAGTACATTCTGCAACCATCTGAATATTTGATGGAAGATTGCTAACAGTTCACATTTGAGTTTCACTTTAAACCTTCTGAAGCAAAATGGTTTCCAACAAAGGCACATTTTAGATTAACATTCTGCTTGATCAAAAAAAATAAGGCAGCTGTTTTTTTAAATACATATATTTCATGTGCATGTATTTAGATTCTTACATGGGAACGTTTAGGGCTGAAACTCAGTTCCGGCACCTGTCAGGTGGGTGCCATTTGCCATTACAGTGGTACCTTGGGTTACATACGCTTCAGGTTACAGACTCCGCTAACCTAGAAATAGTGCTTCAGGTTAAGAACTTTGCTTCAGGATGAGAACAGAAATCGTGCTCTGGTGGCGCGGCAGCAGCAGGAGGCCCCATTAGCTAAAGTGGTGCTTCAGGTTAAGAACAGTTTCAGGTTAAGAACGGACTTCCGGAACGAATTAAGTACTTAACCCGAGGTACCACTGTATACAGTAAAACGGACAAGGGAGGTGTTCATGGTGAGTTCTGGCACCTCTTTTTCTAGAAAAATAGCACTGATACCACCGAGCCTGAGAGTATTCCAGTGTAGTTAACTAGCAGAATCAAGGAAGCTGTTAGAGGTAAGAAGTTTCTGAAAATGGAAGCCTTGTTCAAATGAACAGAAGAAACATAAAATTGGGGGGGAAAGAAATGCAAGCAGACAATGGGGAATTTTAAAAAGAAGCATGCCATCCCACCCAGCAAAGACTGACAAAACAATTATTTAAATACATTAGAAGCAACAACAACAACAAAAAGACCAGGGAGCAAGCTAACCTGTTAAGACAAGGGAAGAAAAAGAGATTACAGGAAGCGGAGTTAATTCTTTGCATCTGTATTCACTGTTGAAGATGGATCCCTGAGTCTGAACTAACATATCATTTTAGAGATCATTAGGAAAGGGACTGAAAATAAAACAGCCAATGACATGACGCCGTTATATAAATCTGTGGTGTAACCACATTTCAAATACACTTCTGGTCATCCGTGCACCTCAAAAAGGATGTAGAGCTGGAAAAAGTTCAGAAAAGGGCAACAAAGATTTATCATTGGGCTGGAACAACCCACTTATTAGGAAATGTGACAACATTAGGAGCTTTTTAGTTTAGAAAAAAGGTAAACAACATTATAGAGGTGTATAAAATTATGCACCATCTCATAACACTAGAATTTGGGGTCATCTAATGAAGCTGGACGGGGACGCGGGTGGCGCTGTGGTAAAGCCTCAGCGCTAGGGCTTGCCGATCAAAAGGTCGGCGGTTCGAATCCCCGCGGCGGGGTGCGCTCCCGTTGCTCGCTCCCAGCGCCTGCCAACCTAGCAGTTCGAAAGCACCACCAGGTGCAAGTAGATAAATAGGGACCGCTTACTGGCGGGAAGGTAAACGGCGTTTCCGTGTGCGGCTCTGGCTCGCCAGATGCAGCTTCGTCACGCTGGCCACGTGACCCGGAAGTGTCTCCGGACAGCACTGGCCCCTGGCCTCTTAAGTGAGATGGGCGCACAACCCCAGAGTCTGGCAAGACTGGCCCGTACGGGCAGGGGTACCTTTACCTTTACCTTAATGAAGCTGGATATTGGAAGAGTCAGGACAGACAAAAGGAAGTACTTATTCACATAGCACATTTGCTACCTTAAGATGTAGCCATAGCACTCACTTGAATAGCTTTAGAGAGGATTTAGACAAATTCATGAAGCATAAGGGTATCAATGGCTACTGGTAATGACGGCTGCAGTGCCATCTCCAGTGTTGGAGTCAGTTGGTCTATGAATACCAACTAGATGCTGAATTGAATGGGCTTTGGTCTGATACATCTGAATGACGATAAGAGCATTAGCTATATATTAAGTTAACAGTCTGCGTCCTGTAAGTCCACATACATTATTTTTGAGGAACGAAGACTATGCCATACCTCGTGCAACCTGGAAACTTTGACTGTTCTGGTATCTGTCAGCAAAGACATGTTCTCACAAAGGCAGAATTATTTTATAATCAGTATTATTAGAATGAGCTGTGCATACAGAATCAAATTCATGATTTTCTCCCCTGGAAAGCTTCACCCCCCCCCTCCCCAGGAATTACAAAGCAATAGGTGCTGTACAGAAATTCTGAACTGAAGATTCATTTCAGAAGACCAGCCCTGTTGTGTCTTACTTGCTACCAAGTTTACCTTCCAAAACATTGAAAATATCCTCTAGTGACTTGTATACACACTGGAGGAATTCTTGCACGTTCCTAGCCGGGTAGGCAGAAACATTACATCCAATCCAGTTGTCATGAACTCCATATCCGACACCAAAACCATCAGGCACCACTGGTGCAAATCCACCCATATTCACAGCAGGACTGCTCAGAGTGCTTGTGGAGAGAATGTTATGATTAATCTGGGCATAAGCTTGGTCCTGGTAAAAGTCTGGCAGAGGGATACCTCTGGATTCTGCCAGATGCCGCAAGCCGTACAAGTGTCGATCAAATCCCTGACCTGTCAAGACAAAATGCAGTAATGAATGACACTGCAGAGAACAATGCCTGTATTTATGGCTTAACTTAGAGGTCAGCAACCTTTTTCAGCCATGGGCCGGGCCACCGTCCCTCAGACCATGTGGTGGGCTGGACTATATTGGGGGCGGGGGGGGGGGGATGAACGAATTCCTATGCCTCACAAATAACCCAGAGATGCATTTTAAATAAAAGGACACATTCTACTCATGTAAAAACATGCTGATTTCTGGACTGTCCATGGGCTGTATTGAGAAGGCGATTAGACCACATCTGGCCCATGGGCCTTAGGTTGCCTACCCCTGGCTTAACTCCACTTCCAAAGCCACAAAGTTAATAGACAAGATGCTCTTGTTTGGTTTAAAAAAATAAAAGCGCTATTGTGCCAAAATATGTGCACATATTTCTCATTTGTGCAAACAAATACTAATACTAAAACCACAACCAAACTATCCAAAGTTGCCCTTTTTCTTTGCTGAAAGGCCTTGCAGTAGAGAACTCTTCCCCAACCTGGTACCCTCCAGATGTTTTGGACTACAACTCCCATCAACCCGAGCATCAGTCATGCTGGCTCAGGGAGCTGATGGGAGTTGTAATCAAACAACATCTAACGGGCACCAGGCTGAGAAGGCTGCAGTAGAAACTCAAGCAAACAAGGGAGTACCAAAAAAAAATTCAGTCATTTGAAAATCTTCTCCAGAGGACTGGGGGAACCCTTCAGAATAGCCTGGAAAATGGGATGGAGAAATTGGTGGTAATTACTCCCCAACCTCCTTTACAGAAACAAGTCAGAAAAGCACCTTTAGATCCAACTCACTACAGTAACACAAGGATAAAATTAAAATGTACCTGGAAAGGCTGTTTTGCATATTGCAAATAAGTATTTTTCAAACATTCATATAATGAAGTCAGATTCTGGATAAGTCTTTTCAAAACTCTATTTAAATGTAGGGAACGTATTTAACTCTGCAAACACGCTAGCTGTGTGAGTGAATGTGATGCAAGACACTCTGCGTCAAGGTGAAAATTGCTCTGAACCCATTGTCTACCTTGACTGAAGCCACTGGGGGAGAGGGACTGCATCCGATGCTAAAAAACGAACTTACCCATAGCAGCTTCTTTTGTGAGCTGGTTGTGGAACTTGGAGCACTCCGCAATCATCTGCTGCAGTTCTGCGGCACTGTGCTTGGGCAGATTCCTGACTAAAGCCTCTGAACACTTTTTTGTATGAACTGAGGCAGGACGGATGGTTTCGGTGCGACCGTGTTTGAATGCTGCTGTGCTGCAAGATTCATAGGTGGCAACAGTTTGGCCATATTGCCGTAGAAAAGCCACCTGGAAGGCAAGTTGCGTTACAGCATCAGGACTCAGCTTCTGCTTCTTTAGGAACTCCTTGCCTCCTTTTTCAAACTGAATGGCCTCCAGAGTCAGCGTTTTCACAGTGGCGTCAAAATTCTGTTTGGCCTTGGTAATTCCTTCTTTCAAGGCATCGTTCAATTTAAAGCTCAGCTTCTGTACAGCTGCGGCAGAATCAACCGCAGCAGGCTGAGACGGAGGAGCAATCGCAGGCGACTGGGTGCTGTCTTTAAACACTTCGTTTTGGAATCTGAGTACAGCTACACCATCTCCCCAGGCGTGCTCAAAGTGAACTGCTGCGGTGCCGTCTTTGGCCAAAATAAGGTTGAAGGATTTGTCATACCACCTGTTGACTCCATCACCGTGGAGCATGGTATGGGACAAGTGGTTGAGATCTTTAATCGGAAAGTCATCAAGGCACAGGCAGAAGATTGCGGAATCCACCTTTGTTAAAGCTTCCTTATTGCCATTCTCAAGTAGCTCTTGTCTCAGCCGTGCCCACGTATCCCTGTTTTCGCTAGTCAAGCAAGCAAGAGGGAAAGCTGGAACGGGGCTGCTGTCGGAAATGATGTATTTTAGGTGTGCTTGAATTTCTGAAGGCGCCACTATGTTCCCATCTCTGTCTAGAACATCAAACACATAGAAGTTTCCATTTCTAAGCACTAATAAGTGCCGCTTACTTTCGTCCGTAAACAGCTCATCCTTGCTGAGCTTAGGCAGCCGTGTGGAATTAAAAAGCCTGAAGTACTGGGACATGTCTAGTGGGTAGGCATTCACCATATAGGCACCAAACCACGAGAGAGAGGAAGGCACAAACCGAATGAACCTTTTGAAAGCTTGTGTGTCGCTTTTGGATGGGTTGAGATGAAAAACCTCTGGCTCTAAAAAGCCAGCCCTGAGAGTCTTCAAGAAACGCAGAGCAGAAACTGTCATGTTAGTCGCTCTCACAAGCTGGTCGTTATATTCAGCTTTGGGGTCAGGGTTGAAAGCCATGAAAGGATTGAAGTTCAAAACCACCGATTCACGTGCCCGTAAGTACATGTCAAACCAGGGACCTAAAATCGGGAGGCGGGCAGAACAGATCAACACAAAGACCATGAGACAAACAAGGCTCATAAACATGAAATGTGGGCAAGTGTTTATGAGAGGGACCTTCTTTTTTTAATTTGTGGACCAGGAGGTATGGTAAACACGCTAGGTTTCTAAGCCCCTGCAATCCAAAATATAACACTCCCTGATTTCTTCTTTCTGGAATTAACATGCATCCTTTATGTTTATTGCTTGAGGGCTACAATTTTGCATCTACGATCCATTCACAATTTGCTCTCCTCTTTGACATACCATTGTGTTGTGTCCTCTTGGGAGAGGGGAGGGGGAAGAGAGAAAGAACATTTACTTGTTTACCTGCCTATCCACTTCTGCTCTTTCCTCACCATCTTCCTTTACCTTTTCTGTTCCTTCCTCTTCCTCTTTTCTGCAACAATTCACAGTTCCTCAGCCAAGGTTTCATGTCTAATCCCTGTCTTCATTCTAGCCACTAAAGTAACTGAATTTTACACTTGGCTTAAAACCTGTGGTTTTTCTTCACAAATACAGGGGCTGCAAAGTAAATTTTAGTGGGAGATGAAAGGCAACACTCAACACAGTTCAAGCAGTAACATAAATGCATTAGAATAATTTTCAAGCTGATGCTTTGAAAATTCTTCAGTTTATAGTTTAGTAACATTCAAAGTTTACACCAGGGTGGTTTTTAAATAGCAATACAACAAAAAGCCTAGGGAAATGTAAAATTGAACATTCCCTTTAGTGTTTAGCATGCCCTCTTTCAGTCATAAAGCATTCCAGAGAAAGCGCATACCAAATTTAAATCTTAGGTAATGAAGTGACCCAGTCCTGTGAAATGCTCTGCCAACAGAGATGCAGCAACCACCTTCTGTTTCAATCTTTAAACGCCTGCTAAAATTTTTCCCATGCTGCCAGGCTTATCCAGGCAATTTAGAAAGCATCTTTCCATAATCGTTAGTGGATGGTCTTCAGTTTTAAATTTTCATGTGTTTATATATGTGTGTGTGTGTTATCAGCCATTTCATTTTTTAAAAATAATAATAATACAGCAGGCATATGCATACACACACACAAATACTTCAATAAGTACTTAAGAAAATCATACACAGGTATCGATAAAACCAATGAGCTGTATGTTTTATATACAAGCAACCATGGTATGAGATATGACAGAAGAGTGGCAACGATGGGGGACAATTGCCCATCAGTTCCAGTCCTCAGGGGATTGGGGAACACTTACGCCTTCACTGCAAAATAGTTCAGCTCTATGTTGTGTGGTGATGGTTGAATTGTTTGCAGCCATTAGGCCTTGAATGATTTGCTCTTTCATCTGCAAATGCCCACTTGTGATTCAAGGACCTGCCACCCGCTTGAGGATAAGAAAGACACATGGACACGGTATATTAGGTTAATGCAGTGTTTCCCAACCGGTGTTCCGCGGCACATATGTGCCGCGAACGTTGCTGTTGCCGCAAGATGTTACCTGGAGGGAGGCGGGCGAGCGAGAAGGGGCGGCGGCGAGGAGAGCCAGGCTCTCGCCGTTGCCTGCCTTAGGGCGCACGTCAGGGGCTGTAACGTGCCCAATAGGCAACCGGGCGCGAGCGGCTCCCCCACATCCATCGCCGCCGCTTCAGCGGCACTGGGGTGTCGGACGGAAGGCTGCGCATGCGCGAGGTTTCGCGCTTCGGATTCCCTCACGCTTCCTCCTCCGGTCCTTGAGAGCACGGGAAGCGGCAGCGCGAGACCGGCGTTGAGCCTGGTAGGTATTGCGCTTGCCAAGGCAGTCATTTGGGAAATGAAAACTTGCAAAGCAAGCAACCAGTTCAATCTGAAGTACGTGTATGCTTAATATCCTGTATCTGAAACCTGTTCTGCCCCCTCCCCCACACTTGGTGCCATTTTCATCTACACATGCAGCAGAGTAAGTTGACCCAGAATAGTACCAATTCAGATGGCAGATGGGAGAATGACAGTGCTGAATGCTTTCCCATGTAGAACAGTCCCTGCAAATAAAAACCTAGCATATTTGGAAGAGGGATGCTAGCCTAACCATTACCTTCTATGCTGTTACTATTTTTTATTTTATTTTTTACATAAGTAAAAAGTGACCTTTCCCCATCTGGCATGGTGGTGTGCCTCAAGATTTTTTTCATGAAACAAGTGTGCCTTTGCCCAAAAAAGGTTGGGAAACACTGGGTTAATGGGCTAAAAAACGCCACAACTTTTTGATTACAGCATGTGAGAGGTATTGGCTTAGGCACTGGATAAAACAACAGAGTGTGACTCCACCCCCTCAGGGAGGGTTGAGTTTATCAAGGGTTAACCACCAGTGGGAGGAGCCTGTTGATGCAAATACAACTGAAAGCTCCCCCTGATGTCACCAGGGGTCATGGCCCTAGCCACCAGCAAGGGTGTTGGACAGGATCCATGACCGCCGGATTCCTTTACCAGAATACCCATAAAATGGAGGGGTAGGCGATGGCTACACCCTGCCCGCCAACACACAACCATATTCCAATGCCTAACCGCCACCTGAGCCAAAAGAGGCTAGACGCCAATACCCTCACAGCTGCAACCAATCCCTAAGGCTTCTGATGATGTCGGCCAGCCAAATATCATTGCCAAGGTCCAAATGGTGAACTTTTTTTTTTTTAAGGGGCTAAAAGCAGCAGCACAATTAATGGGCTAAAAGCAGCAGCACAATGGCTGAGACACACTGCCGGGCCGCATTTGAGCGGCTAAACCCCACCCCCAAGCCTCCAGCCGATTGGCTGGCCACCTGGGGGCGTGACAGCCAGAGCAGCTGGGCAGGGGGCGAAACACCCCCTGCCAACGCGGGAAACGGCTCCTGCTCACAACTCCTCCCCTCCCTGAGGATGAGAGGCTTTATCCCTGTATCAACATCAACTAGATTTACTGTTTACTAGGAAGGGAGACCCTTACCTTTCATTCTCCTATTCATCACAGACACATAAAAAAAAGATGAATGTCTTAGAATCATAGAACTGTTGAGTTGGAAGGGACCCCACGGGTCATCTAGTTCAACCCCCTGCAATGCAGGAATAGTCAGGCACTACTTCATTTTCAAGTAAGATCAAATGAATAAAAAAAGAACAGGATTTTTTCCTCTTTCACATGACAACTGCAACAGCAGAACTAAGGTGTCAATTCCCCCCACCCCCCACATTTGAATGTCAGCCATATTCAGTGTAGAACCTTTTCAACTCCCGCCCAGGGATCCAATGTCCCCACTGTGGAAGGACGTGTGGGTCCAGAATTGGCCTCCACAGTCACTTACGGACTCATTGTTAAAACCGTGTTTATGGAAGACAATCTTACTCAGCCACGAGTGATCGCCAAAGAAGAAGAACCTTTAAATCCATGGCTATAGCATGGATATTGCCCTTTATTCTTCATTTATAATAGGTTTATAATTTGGCTCACCTTCAACATCAGTTTAACATTCTTGAGTATCAAAAGGGGAGGGGGGAAGTATTGCAGTTCACACTCACTAATTTCACTTTTGTTTATGTGAAGTGCAGAGTATCTTGGGTGTCAGGAATTGCTACCACTCAGTAGTCAGTGAGCTAATTTGATGAGGAATTACAGTAGTGGAGAATATGGTGGAATTTACAGATACCAGGTTTGCTCTGTACATAAACTCTTCTGCTCTCCACCGATATCCTTATAAGCTACAACAACAACGCCCCTTTGGGGGCTAAATTAATAAAATGAATAAAAATCACTAACCTAAACACTATATACGTTCTCTTGCTTTCTTTCCTCTGCCTCTGTCTCTCTCTCAATCATTTTTGTCCTATTAAATTTGCAGTCTCCTTTTCTTTATTCTCTGGTCTTGCTGTCTGCATCTTTCATCTTTCTTGTTCTTTGATAAAAGAAATGCTGTTTCTCTGTCATCCTGCCTGGCTTCTCAAAGGCAAGCAATTTTATAGTATTGACTAAGCTGGATTCTCCAAAGGTCGACATCCTGAAATAGATTTACATGTGGTTTGAGTCACTCATTGGATCACGGCAGCAACTATTTCCCTTCATTGTGCTGTCTGTTTAAGAATTACACAGGGGGCATTCAACTAATTCATCCCATCCACCCACACTGCACCCTCACCAAATCTGCTCCAGAGGTTCGGGGAACCCCTAGAACAAATTTAAGGGACACAAAGGGGAAGACTGTTCCATTGCACAAGCAGAGATCCTTGCACTGATGGAACATTCACTTAGTACTACACTGGATACAACTTAGGATATTTTATTGTAGTGGTAAGCTTTCCTTCCCATTTCCTTCATCGCCACTTTCCAAGGCAAGAGATGAGATACAAGAGGTGGTCTTATACCAAGTCAGACCACTGACCCATCTAGTTCACTACTGTCTGTTCCTATTAGCAGCATCTCTACAGCGTCACAGGCAGAGGTGGTGCCTATGTGCTACCTGAAATCCTTTAACTAGAGATGCCAGGGATTAAACCTGAGGCCCTCGGCATGCACAGTGACCTAGCAGTTAGCCATGACCTCAAGTTCCAACGCTGGAGCCATCAACACAGCTCCAGGAATCTGCCTATGCAACCACTTCTCCCTCTCTCTGCATAAAATGATGTTTTAGTCCAAGACATCATATTCTTATGGGATTAGAAATCCATATTAGACTTTGTAAACCAAGAGACAAGACACTGCACTGCAAAGTGAAGTCTTCAGAACCAAACATGCCTAAAGTAATGAATGGGGTTGTGATCAAGGGACCATGCACCCTTTATGTTGTTGATACTTTGATTCTGGTTGTCTGTACTTTAAAGAATGTCTGGGTAAACATTACTTGCCAAGTGAAGATGTTTCCATGACATCTTGCGATTTCAGGGGAAAAGATAAGTCAGTTGTTTTGGAGTACTGATTGTAACATTGTCAAGAGCATTTCAGATCAGAGAGTATCCTGCTTCATTAACCTGAAACTAAGGTTAATGATAACTAAGGTTAATGATAAACATGCCTGTTTATCACTTAGCTGGCTAAAGCATCGAGGTGACTTGCAGGTGTGAATGAACTTTCATACTTACTACATTCAACACAAAGCTTATTAATGACATCAATTTAGACATGCCACAGAGAATCAAATGTTGAGCATTCAAAAGATGCATGCAAGTAAGCAAGCAAGCTGCAGCAAGAGTTAATGATCAGAGTGCGCCCTCTAACGTGCCAGATTCTAGTCTGTTCTCAAGCAAGCAGTTTGAGGAACTAATACCAAGAATGCAAAGCAGGTTTCACAATTACTTCCTTACCTGAAATATAACTAGTGTGCTTATTTTGCTTGTCTTGTGCAACCAACTGCTCATGTAATTCTCTACCAATTCCATCCCTAAAATTGACAGCGAGTTGTTCAGTTTTCCTTTAGAAAGAGAGAGTGAGAGAGAGAGAGAAATTAAGTAAAATTGTGATGCCTTTCTGAGAGCCAAGAGGAAAAGCATCCCGTGTGGCTGGACTGGTATGACTCCTCCCTTCCCCACCCTTGATGTTGCAAATGCTCCTGGCTAAGAATGAGGAAAGGTTGTTGTTAATTCAAAAGTTTGTTAATCCATTCTGGATCTACACTGGAAGAAGGTTCTGTAATCACTATGCTGGAACTAGTTTGGACTGGTGCACTGTGCTACTATGTTGTCATAGATACCTGTCAGCTCAGGCAACCTGGTGTGATATGGATAAACTGAAGTCTACAGTTTGAAGACTTGCATTTCAGAAATGGTTAATATTTCATGGAGGGTTTGATGTTCTAGGCTCACACCTGCCACTCAGGGAGCAGCCAGGCAATCTTGGGAGAATACTGATTTTTTTTTAAAAAACCCACTTCAGTCCAGTTTTCAGCCCAGATTCAGGACAGAAACAGCCTTGGTTTTCCTGCTGGGTGGTGCATGCTGGGAACTGGACGAGGGGAGTGCAATTCTATTGATCCCCTTGAATCTCTCTGTTGCATTCGCTACTATCAATCATGGTATCCTTCTGGGCCATCTTGCTGGGTTGGCACGGGGGGCACACTATTGTGTTGGTGCCAGTCCCTCATGGAGGATCAGTCCCAGAAAGTTGCACCCCTTGGCCTTTGGCATCAAGGTTCGATTCTGTCCCCCATGCTGGTTTACACCTATATGAAAGTGCTGGGAGAACTCACCCAAAGGTTTGGACTGCAGTGTCACCAATATGTGGATGACAGCTAGCTCTACCTCTTTCTTTCAGCTGTTAATCCCAAGGAGACTGTGAAACCTGAATAGGTACCTGGAAACAGTTTTCACTGGATGAGGGCAATTAGTTAAAACTGTATCTAGGCAAGACACCTGTGCTCTGGGTGCGGAAGCCGAATTATCTGGCTAAAGAGACAGGATCAAACTCTCCTGAAAGACTACATTTGTTGTTTGGTGGTTCTCCTGGACTTGGCACTGTCTGTGGAAGCACAGGTTACATCTGTGGTTACGAGAGCCTTTTTCCTACTGAGGCTAGGATGCAAGCTATTGCCTTACCTAGAGAGATCAGACCTTGCCTCAGTAATCGACACACTATTCACATCTAGGACAGACATCTGTGGGCAGACTGCTGCCTTTAAGTTGAGAAACTTCAACTGGTGCAGAATGCTGCTGCTTGGATGCTAGATGGTGCACAGTAATCACAGAATGCAACTCCTATTCTGTACCAGTCGTACTGGTTGCAGGTTGTGTTTCTGAATCCAATTCAAAGTGTTGATTTTGATCTTTAAAGCCACCAGTGGCTTGAGCCCATGTCCTCTAAAAGACCAGGAACACAATACAAGTCTCCTAGAATACAGTCATACCTCGGAAGTCAAGAATCCATTCCGGAAGTCCGTTCGACTTCCAAAACTTTTGGAAACCAAGGCATGGCTTCTGATTGGCTGCAGGAAGCTCCTGCAGCCAATCAGAAGCTGCATCAGACGTTCGGGTTCCAAAGAACGTTCGCAAACAGGAACACTCACTTCTGGGTTTGTGGCATTTGGGAGCTAAAACGTTTGACTTGCAAGGCGTTCGGGATCCAAGGTACGACTGTATTAAGATTTGCCTCAGAAGCTCTGCTCATATGCCCACCTGCCAGGCTGATGGTACTGGTGGGCCTGAGAGACAAGGTCCTTTCCATGGTGGCCCCCAAACTGTGTAACTCCCTCCCTACAGAGGTGCATAATCCTTCAACATTGCTACTGTTGATATATATACTGTCTTTGGTTCCTTCTTTTTTCTTACCTGAATTGGGCATCATCTAAAAGAGGCTTTTGAGCATTTAGGTATCTTCTGATTGTGTCTTCAAGTTTTGGAATAGGCAAACTAATAAGGCAGGAGAAGAGAAGCAAAACAATATAAGGCCACACCATGTTAAACATTCCAAAGGAAAAGGCAAAATAATACTGTTCTGTGTAATAACTAGTTTTCCCTAGCAATGTATTATAAGTTAAATGTAGGTATGAAAGGACCTCAGTCTACAATAATCCCTTACTAATTACACATTAACCTTTTGTACACTGACCCCATTTCTCTTTAGATCAGGCTTTGCCTGGTACCTTCCAGACATTTTGGATGACAGCTCCCATAGCTATCATTGAAATCCGAATTAGCTGCTCTGAAGTTAGAAGAGTAAATAAAAGAAGGTTCTGAAAGCTACAGAGAATTTTCATTACCTTGTATTAAAGTTTATGGTACAATACACAGTATCCTAGTATATACAAATAGCAAACTTGTTTTTCAAGTGACAATATTCACGTAGCCAAACCAATAACATACCTTCACCAGAGCCTTGGGGAAAACCCAAGGATTGCTAAAGTCCCCTCCCCCGAAAAAAACCTTTAGCAGGAAAAACCTAAGCGGGAGGGGGAATCAAAAACAACAGCTCAAAAGAAGTGTGCATGCACACGAAAGCTTATACCAGAACAAACTTGGTCTATAAGGTGCTACTGGACAATTTTTTATTTTTATTTTTATTTCGACTGCGTCAGACCAACACGGCTACCTACCTGAATCTACAGCTCAAAAAACAGCCACAAAAAACTGACCATTCTCAGGGAGGAGATGGAATGGACTATCCTGGAAAAGCTGAACTCTGAACAGGAGCACTGCAATATTTTGCTGCAGGTTCTACATTTATGTTAATATTTAAGGGGCACCAGATCTCCAGATCTTTTACCAATTTTTGTAACTTGGAAGTTTACCTGCTTATAAGGAACTGCTATATGACAAAAATACTTCTAAAACATATTAGTCACAATCCAAAGAAAAGTAGGTTCCACTGAATTTCTCTGGTACTTAGGCACACTAAGAATATAACTATTATCTTTACAATTTGATCCTAAATATGTTTATTTAGAAGTACATCAAAGCAAACAATACACAAAGCAAACAAGCTGAAACAATTTCATTTTCTCCAAACTTTTCCATATGTTTTCGCCTGGTACTCATAAAGTAGGCAAAGAAGCATGAGGGAACTAATATATTTGTGTAAATTTAAATATAGATGGCAATCATGAAAATCACGCCCTGCTTTTAGCACTAACCTTTCACCTACATACTGTACCTTTATCTCAGCCTAAATGAAGGCAGAAGGCTTTTCATTACCAGCTGTATTACGTATGCTTCTCCCCTTTCTCTCTGGCAATGGAACTGTGCCCTCTTCCAGAACTAATTTGCTTTTGAAAGGGGTAGGAACTAACATAAGGAAATGTTCTCCAGATCACATTAACATAGCAAATCCTTTTGCTGCTGTACTCACTGAAACACTGCACCATTTCTATCCATGCAATGTAATTTTGTGAGTCAATCCATGGGATCTTATCTATGTCAAGTTAATGAATGTAACCCAGGGGTGATAGTGCTTCCTGACTGATTGAACACTGAGTAAAAGGGCACAATCTTGTTTAGATGCGCTATGAGGGCAAGGGGAGAGACACCTGGAGTTTTCAGGCAAAGAGGAAGCCTTCCAGTGGGTGGCTGTCTGAGTTATTAAAAAAACCTGTGGGATACCTGTGCCCTCCAGATGCTATTGGACTCCAACTCCCATCAGCCTCAGAAAGCATGGTCGGTTAGCAGGGATGATAAGAGTCCAACATCCAGTAGGTAATGTCCCCCTCCCCCTCGCTGATCTGCTTGTGACATCCTCTCAGAGGGTAAAAGGTAAAGGGACCCCTGACCATTAGGTCCAGTCATGACCGACTCTGGGGTTGCGGCGCTCATCTCGCTTTATTGGCCAAGGGAGCAGGCGTACAGCTTCCGGGTCATGTGGCCAGCATGACTAAGCCACTTCTGGCGAACCAGAGAAGCGCACGGAAAAGCCGTTCACCTTCCCGCCGGAGTGGTACCTATTTATCTACTTGCACTGCGTGCTTTCGAACTGCTAGGTTGGCAGGAGCAGGGACCGAGCAACGGGAGCTCACCCCATCGCGGGGATTCGAACTGCCAACTTTCTGATTGGCAAGTCCTAGACTCTGTGGTTTAACCCACAGCGCCACCTGTGTCCCTCAGAGGGTAGGCAAACTGTATTCCTTGGGCTACAGCTGAAAGGTCCAGATGTGAAAGCACACCTGTACCTTTTAAGACTTGCATTGAAGGAAATTGTCAAAAATGCAGTGTTTCCATCTCCCACTTCACCATGATGGAGAACTGGGATCCTACAGCATTCTCTTTTTCACCTAATGGGGTTCTTAATAAAGGTCTCTTGTGTCCTGGATTTGGCAACATCTAATTAGAAATGCTTCAACGCCCAGCTTAATTACAACGTGGCTTGTCTCCCGTCTCCCTGTAAAGCCCTGCATGTATTGATTTATTATATTTATACCCCGTTTTTCCTCCAAGGAGCTCAAGGCGGTGCACATGGTTGTTCTCCTTCTCCTCCTCTCCATTTTATTTTCACAACAACCCTGCGAGGGAGGGAGGTTAGACTGAGAGTGACTAGCTCAAGGTCACCACCGAGCTTCGCGGCCGAGGTTGGGGGTGGCGGGCGGTCATTTGAACTCTGGCCTCTCCCAGACTCTAGTCTAACCCGACACTAGCCACTCTGCCCTCTGCACATGCTCCAGAGACCGGCGCTCCGCTTCCCATCTTGGCAAGGCTGAGCACCGAAAAGCACCGCCCTGCTCAGAAGGAAGGAGGCGGAGCCAGGAACCAAACTTGCTCTGGAGGCGCCCTTGCCAAGAAACCTGGCCGGCAGCGGGGGCGCCTCAGGCCAAGCCCAGCCCTCTCCTCCCCCTCCTACCGCGGAAGCGCCACCTTACCGGGGAAGGCTCTTCTGATAATGCATGGTGGGCACCAGGCTGCGGTGCAAATACTGGGAGACGGAGCCGTCCTGGCTGTAGTTTCTCCGCGGCCCGGCCAGGGCAGGCGGGAGCAGGGCGGCAGACGCCCCGCAGAAGCGCGGCCAAGGAGAGAAGAGCAGCGCCGCCGTCGCCATGCTGAGCTCGTCACTTTCCCGGTGCGGCCGCCGCCAGCTCCACCTCCTCCCTCCGCGCCGCAGCCAACTCCTGCGCCGCCCCTGGGAGGAGTCAGCTCAAGCCTCCCTGGGAGGAGGAAGCAGGAGCTCGGCAGCTGTAGGCCGCAGCCTCGGAGGAGGAAAGGGCTAGGGACTGCTTGGTGGTCCGCGACACTCAGCTTAGCCAGCTTCATGGCAAACGCGAGACCCTTTTGTCCCGCCTGCATTCAGCTTCCCAGTTCCTGAAACTGCAGAGGCTTTGGGCGCTTCGTGCTGCCGAGAAGGGACGGGGAGCAGCTCTCAGCAGTGGCTTCCCTCCCGCAAGGGGATGCCGCTGTTTATTCAGCTGGGAGGCGGCCACCAGGGCCTGCCTTTTGGCTTAGCGCTGCGCCCTGCCCCTGCGCGCAGCTCCTCAGGCGCGCTTCACTCAGCGCCCCATAAATCAGCGGGGCAGGAAAGAAGCTGCTGTGCAGGTTTCCGCGCCCTCTGCGGGCAAGGGCCGCTGCTGGCAGCTTGCTTCCCAGTTTCCAGAGTTTCCAGGCTGGCGTCCAGGAGGCTTCCGGGGAGCACCGTTCTCGCTGGCTGCTCCTGCTAATAAGAAAAGCTCGACGGCAGCCACGGAGTTCCGAGGAGCGCTCCGCTAGCGGCGGCCCCTTCGTCATCCGGCTACATCCACAGACGTCCGTCAAGGCGCCCACCGAGCCTTGCAATGCTTGGCGGCGACATCCCCCTTTCTGATCCGTGGTGGTCGCTAGTCCTCTTCCCGCCCTTGGCCTGACGCAGCAGGCTGTTCTTATGTGCTTATCTGTAGGCTCTCTCCACCATTTGGAAACCTACGTGATGCACAAGCATCTTACCTGCTGAAAAGCATTGATCTTGTGTGACATGTTTAAACATGTGCAGAGGCATATCGAGGGTCCTTTGCGCCCTTGATAAGGGGCTGTACCAGCACACGCATCGGGGGGGGAAATCACTTTGTTACAATAACCACAACCACATTAAAAATTGTCAATTTACGCAACCAAACTACCATACTTGGAGCATCTGAAGTGAGGGTGAGGCGACGGGGGGGGGGGGGATGCATGTTTTTGTGCCATGGTGCAAGAAGGACAGGAAGCTTCTCCCATGTTTAATCATCCTTCAGTAGCGGCAGTGCATCAACATGTGCATATACATCATATACTCCATAGTGATTTTTGGGACTCCCAGGGCCTGCGCTCCCTTCAAGGGGCCCTGCAAGTAGGAGGGGAACCACATCCCAGGAGGATACCATGACTGATGGTATCAAAAGCCACTGAGAATTCAAAGAGAACCAAAAGAGTAACATTCCCCTGTCCCTCTCGCAATAACAATCCATCGGTCAGGGCGAGCAAGGCTGCTTCAGTCCCAAACACCAGCCTGAACCCAGATTGGCAAAGGTGCAGAAGTTGCTGGACTACAGTTACCATAATCCCTGACTATTGGCCATGCTGCTGAGGCTGCCAGGAGATGTAGTCCAACAACATCTAGCTTGGGAAAGGCTGGTCTAGGCAATTGCTTCCCCCAAGAACGTCTGGAACAGTGTCATCACGTTCCTCTTGAGCCCCCTGCTAAAAGGGGGATATTAGCAACTGGCTAGTACAGTGGTCACAGACATGGGTAGCGCTGTGGGTTAAATCACAGAGCCTAGGACTTGCTGATCAGAAGGTTGGTGGTTCGAATCCCTGTGACGGGGTGAGCTCCCGTTGCTCGGTCCCTGCTCCTGCGAACCTAGCAGTTCAAAAGCACATCAAAGTGCAAGTAGATAAATCAGTACCGCTCTGGTGGGAAGGTAAACGGTGTTTCATGTACTGCTCTGGTTCGCCAGAAGCGGCTTAGTCATGCTGGCCACATGACCCGGAAGCTGTACGCCAGCTCCCTCGGCCAATAAAGCGAGATGAGCGCCGCAACCCCAGAGTCGGTCATGACTGGACCCTTTACCTTTACCTAGTACAGTGGTACCTTGGATTAAGAACTTAATTCGTTCTGGAGGTCCGTTCTTAACCTGAAACTGTTCTTAACCTGAGGTACCACTTTAGCTAATGGGGCCTCCTGCTGCCGCCGTGCCATTTCTGTTCTCATCCTGAAGCAAAGTTCTTAACCCGAAGTACTATTTCTGGGTTAGCGGAGTCTGTAACCTGAAGCGTCTGTAACCCGAGGTACCACTGTAGTTACATAAATTGAGATCCAATGTGCCCTTATGGAGTGGTCGCACCACCACTGCTTTCAGGATGCAATGAGGCATTCACCAGATATTGAATCTGCTTGGTCAGGACCAGACAGTGTGCTTGTTAAGAACTGTATTAAACAGCATCCAATTCAGCACAGAGATGAGGGATTTGTCCCCGCAGGTATCTTGAGTGTTCCAATATCCTGTTGATCAAGGCTGATGATTAAAAAAACAAAAACCCTCACCACTGGAATAATTCTGCTAGATGGCTACCAATGGGGGAGGAGGAAAATACTTTTTACAAGAGAGGCTCCCTAAATGCCATAGTAATCATTGTCTAAATAAGTGAGGCAAACCCTTTGAAAAACGTGAGCCATATTTGTGGCTGATAAGCTTCATAAATCAAATTCTTCTCTTGCTTTAATTGAAGATGGTTATTGAGTTAATGTTATTGTTCTCCCAAACTAACCGCAAATGCCAGTTTTTGTCAGTAGCCTCTATATGCATTTTTACTGGTTAGGATATGTCTTAAATCATGCATTTACAGGTGCACTTGCCCTTTTCATCCTGATACTAATAGTGAAAAGCAAACCTGATTAAAGAAGTCCAGTCTGTTCCCCTAGTCTGTCCTATTGTGATAATCCAGCATTACTCACCCAGCGCTTGAATTGCTGCATACCCTTTTCTGTTCCTTTTATAGCTAACGTTGAAACTGAGCTTATAAGGGCTGAATAACGAATTGTGCTTGCTTTTCATATAGGGTGTTGCTTTGCCTAGAGATCACTCTTGTTTCAAAAGTACTACTCTACTCTGTTCTAATTTTCCAGAGTCGGTAATCTTCTTCCAGGTTCTTATTGATGTAGTCACTAATAGGATTGTTGGTATTAATTTGGAAATAATGCCAGCTACATGCTTGGTGGCTATTGGCAGAAGAGGTGACATTGCAGGTCAGCTAAGCAGCACTAGAAACGCTTTGATCTAATCTATACCAAGCCAGAGCTGGCTATTCTAACAAGAGAGGCTGGTGAGGTCTCTTTCTCTATGGGATGCTGATTCTCTTCCAGAGAGCACTGAGGACAGCATGGCAGTGGCTTTGGATGCAATGCTGGCTCGGGTCAAGGATGTGTGTAAAAGAAATGGTTTGCTCATTCTCTCCGTGTTATCCGTCATAGTGGGATGTCTCCTTGGGTTCTTCCTCAGGACCAGACGCCTCTCTCAGCAGGTCAGTGACATAAGCAGGTGTTGCAGCGGTGTATTTTTAAAAAGGTCTTTGTTACATAACGAAATAGGAAATAAAACAGTGTGTCACAGTGCGGAACATGATAATCTGTGAAGCAAGTTGTCTGGTTCTAGTGTTACTCTTTGTAGGAAAGAACGTGAATTGCTCATTTTAGAGTTTTAAATATGTTGGCTATATAGACTATAAGGCTACAGGTATCACAAGGATCTCACAACTAACACCAACATGAGCATAAAATGTTAGATTCTGGAAGAGAAGAAACTGCAGGAGAAATGATTCCTAACATCTTTAAGGTGCATTTCTGGTACGATTGGGTGTCTTAATTTTTAATGAAAACTAAGTTCTTTTGTCTTGGTGGCAACAGGTTTACAGTATGTAAAAAGGTTATGCCTCCAACTAGCCATTTACCTCAGAGCAGTCCCTACAATTTCAATAAGGTTTTAGGGGAAACGCTTCAAGGTCATTGGTTTGGTTTGTAGCCAAAATACTATTCTGGAATCAGGGCACAAAATTCAATTATTTCAAAAATACATTCCAGCTGTTTGAGCAATCTGATGAATTCATCTGTTTAACAGCACGGATTTGCCCATTCAGAATAAACTGGAAACATTGAACAAGCCAGAGAGAAATAGGCTGTTGAATGTTTTTTTGGCATATAATAGGAATGCTGTGTTGCTGTTTTGAATGTATTATATATCCAGACATAAATTATTTGTTACTGGTAACTGAAAACTGAATTTCATTCCAAGGGGTGTCATTCACACAGAGTAAACATTAAGCCAAAAGAAAATCATGTGTAGTGTTTGATGCCAGAAGTATACCCTTATTTATAGCTTGTTTTGCGCTTCATTTTCAGGATTAAGTTTGATTAATGTAAACTATCCTTCAGGTCATTGTGATATTAGTAGAGATATGGACAGATGTCTTTGATTGGCAGAAGCTTTAGTGTTATTTCTCCTAACAGCGCTTAAGACCAAATTCGTTTCTGTATTCAGATTGTCTGTCATATTAAACACATGGCGTTCATCTGATCGCTTTTGAAAACCTTTTCAAGTTAGTACAGTAAAGACTGGGTTCATTATTTTGAATTATCTAACTGTGAGAGAAACCTTGTTATTTTCCCCCCAAGCCATAGTGCTATCTCATCCTATTGATTTTCATGTCTCTCCATCATTTGAAATGATATGCGATGAAATGAGATGAAAGTAGCAGTAAAGAGTTCAGCACATTTTAACTGTGGTTCAACAAAGAGATACATGTGTATATCTTCAAATAACTGATTCACCTCCTTATTTTATAGGAAATAAGCTATTTCCAGTTTCCTGGGGAGTTACTGATGAGAATGCTGAAAATGTTGATTCTACCACTGGTTGTTTCAAGGTAAGCTAGTGGATAGCGAACCGTAGCATGATCTACCCAACTTTGTTCCTTTAATTAAAGAAACAAAATTAACTTTCAAGTTGCTTGTCCCTTAAAGGCACATGCATATTTGTGATCAATTGATTTAGCAAGAAGTTATGGTCTTAGCTGAAAATGTCACAGGATTACCAAGCAGGGTATGATAATACTGTAGAAACATGTAGAAAATATAGTTGCAATTCACAGCTAAATCAGATTATTTGTAACTCAAGGCAAACATGTGTTTGAGATGTTGGGGGGAGGGGAGAAGTAATGAGAAAGAGGAGTGGTTTGGGACAAGGAAAAGTCAGGGTCTCCTTTCTCGCTACCACTTCCCTCTCCTAAGACTGTTTTATATTAGGTGGGGTCTCTTATATAAATGCATTTGCACATAAAATGTAGTTAGTGCTTCATTGCCTGTGCTTGCAGTGCATTATAGTTAACACCTTCCTATATGCGTTTTGGATACAATGCACACCTAGCAAGCTCAATCAAGTATTGTCAACTAACACAGACTGTTATATAGAAAATGTAATTTGCTGTTGTTTTAAATAATCCCTTGTTTAGGTAATAACACTGAGAGGAAAACACGTTATATAATGTTTGCCACTATGTATTACAAGGCCAACAACATTGTTCCAGCTCCCATCTGTTGCTGTATAACATAGATATAATATAACCGTAATATATCACTTTTATGGTGTCCTAGTAGTTGACAAAGATTGATTGCTTTATGGTGTGTGGCTTGTATTTAAGGATATCCTGAAATATATTGGGTGTACTTGACGTCATGTAAGTCACAACAAATTCTGTCAATAACAATGCAAATGCGACAAACTTTGTCCTTCCACACAAATGAATTATTATTAAGGTGGATATTGCAATTGTACAATAGACCACACCTATTCTATGATGCTTCCTGCAAAGGCACGCTTTCTTCTCCAGAATACTAACATAAAAAAAGTAGGTCTTGTACAGAATGTTTTAGTCCTTTTCATAGAATCATAGAACTGTCAAGTTGGAAGGGACTTCATCTAGTCCTTCATCTAGTCCTTTCTCAACCTGTGGGTCCCCAGATGTTGCTGAACTACAACTCCCATCACCCCTAGCTAGCAAGGCCAGAGCTCAGGGATGATAGGAGTTGTAGTCCAACAACATCTGGGGTCCCACAGGTTGAGAACCACTGATTCTAGTCCAACCCCCCTGCAATGCAGAAACACCAGCTAGATCATATATGACAGATGGCCATCCAAACTCTTCTTTAAAACTTCTAAGGAAAGAGAGTCCATCACCTCTCATGGCTCCAAACTTTGGGTCCAAAGTTCTTAAGTTTTGAACACGCTGCCACTGCAGCTCCTTAACTCCTACTCCTAACAAATTGCTGACACTGTTATTGCAAAGAACGCAAGGCTTGGAAGATGTGAGGAGGTCCAACTGACAGTGATAAATTATGGAAAGATGATTTGACACATATCCATTCTTTTTTATTTTCTTTTATCTTTATAATTTGTTTCTAGTTTTTTACTCTGGTATGCTTTTGAACTTGTGAACCTATGGAAAGAAACGCAATAAAAAAATATTTATAAAAAAAACAAACTTAACTCCTACTCCTGCCTATTAGTACTGAAGTCACCATCATATTGGAGTTTCAAAATTTCATTGTTCTATGCCTGCCTGTGCATGCACTTACTGAAAACTACCACTGCATATCAACAAATACGATAGTGGTTTCATACTTGTGCAGCACACACTCAGCAGAAGATTTGAAACAGAGATGTCAGCAACAATAACAGATACACAGCATGTTTCCATGCATGGGTGTAGCCAAGGGGGGGACAAAGAGAGGCAGCTGCCACCTAAATCAATAAAAATATATAGCAAACTGAGGTTTTGCCTTCTTGGTGGTGGCACTTGTCCTGTGGAACGCCCTCCCATCAGATGTTTATTATTATTATCTCTAACAAAAATCCTGGCTATGCCCATGCGAAGTATGATACTCCATCTGATGACTGGCACTCCAAGGCCTTTTTGCCTCTCACCTTAGCTGGAGGGGATGTCACCTAAGCGCTGATAGTGTCTCATTCAGAATATTCAAGAGAGATCCTCAACTAACAGGAGACCATCCACTATCATTAATTTTCATTGATGAAATGTAAACTGTCCATACTACATACCATACTTTTCACCCTTCAAAGAGCATTTCTGTAGACCCTTATCTGTATCTAACAATTCCTCGCAGTTATAATGTCACTTGGCCAAGTTTAGAATTTTGTCCATCTCCTCTGAGATGGAGACTTCTAACAGATTAGTCAGCATCACCCAGACAATAGTCTGCCATGTGCTCAAACCTCATGGGAGCAAGATGCTCTTTGCCGAAGGTGAATGCAGGACAAGGAAAGCATCCAGTCAAACACAGCCTGATGGCTAGAATGAGTTTCATCGTAAGGAGCATCTGATTAGCACTGGTGTCTTCAGAATGGGTTTTTTAAACAGGTTTCTTGAACTAATAGCAGTTCCATTCATAACGTTTATCAAATAGGCATACATTGAAAACTTGTATGCAATTGGCAGCATTTACAATTTGGTAATTTAATAGCCTGTTTTCAGGGCGACAGCTCAGTGGTTGGACATCTGCTCTGCATGCAGAAGGTCCCTGGTTCAGTCACCAGCATCTGCAGGCAGGGCTGGGAATGCCCCCGTCTGAAACTTTGGAGAGCAGCTGCTAGATGCAGACCCGCATCTAGCAATGGTCTGATTCAATGTAAGACAGCTTCCCATGTCCCTAAAAGAAAACTGATTAAACAGGACAACTGCATTTTAATGTAGTAGTTTTGAAGAAAATGACTGAAGCCCTAGGCATATTTATGTGGGGGTAGGATCCACTGTAATAAATGGGATTTACTTGCAAATAAGCCTGCACAGTGTACCGTACCTCTGAAAGAAGTACAGTGGTACCTCGGGTTACATACGCTTCAGGTTACAGATGCTTCAGGTTACAGACTCCGCTAACCCAGAAATAGTACCTCGGGTTAAGAACTTTGTTTCAGGATGAGAACAGAAATCGTGCTCCTGCAGCGCAGCAGCAGCGGGAGGCCCCATTAGCTAAAGTGGTGCTTCAGGTTAAGAACAGTTTCAGGTTAAGAACGGACCTCCGGAACAAATTAAGTACTTAACCCGAGGTACCACTGTATGAATCTTCTACCCAGTCCTGCAATAATACTTATGATCATCTTTATTATTATATATTTTAAATAAACAGCACTTAGAATTATTTTGGACACACTTATAAAGGAAGTTAGAATCCTGCATATAAAGTTATGGGTCAAATGAACATTTGTGCATTGGAGACACTTGGAGCCAAACTGGCAATAGCAGACAGTGTGATGTGTTGGTGGTGCTCACCTGACCTCCCAACAGCACCGTCACTGCTGCTTACCGGGAAGAAGAGGGGGAGGGGCAAGGTGGCAGGGAGTTTAGTGTGGTGCAAATGCACCAGCAGAGTGCTCCTGATGGTGCATTTGTATTATGCCAGCCTCCTTGTTCCCTTCCACTCTCCCTCCTTGTAAGCAACAGCAACTCAGCTATCAGGAGGTCAGAGGCCACCATGCAGCCCACTACTACAAACTGTATGTAATGGGTCCATCATTAATTTACCTACTCTATTCACATACAAAGTAAATGAAGAGATCTAAATGTAAGAGGAGTCCCATCCTGCAAACCTTACTTCCTCTTGGTCCTCTTGGTAGCTAAGCTTTTATAGGCTGAGGATCAGAGTCACCCTTAGCCAACCTTCTTGGGGTTTGTGGGTGTGATCTGAAGTGAGTTTAACACCTTACACTTTCACATGCAGAAGACATGCAGGCACAGAACCCCTTCTTCCTATCTTCTGCTGACGAGGTAGAGCTGATGCGCATCTTCATTAGGGTGAAGGAGGCGTGGAGAGATTTATACTAGCAGTGAGATTACTTTTAAAACATTTAAAATTGGTGGAGTCTTAAGGAGGGGGCAGAAAATTTGTGGGAGAGGGGTTGTGGGTCAGGCCCCCAGACCAGAAGTTAGCCATCCCTGCCACAGTCCATTGCTCCAAGAAGGTCTCTCCATTCCCAGCACACCTTAGCTTTCAACACCTCACCAGGGATAAGAGGAAGTTGTAATTTTGATAAAATCCTTAATATATATGTATAGTACACAAGCCTGAAATCTTCACAGACATGCTAATGAGGAGAGCCACATTTTGCTTTTTGTTTCTTGATCCAAATTCTAGATGTTGTTGTTGTTGTTGTTTAGTCGTTTAGTCGTGTCCGACTCTTCATGACCCCATGGACCAAGCACGCCAGGCACCTCTGTCCTCCACTACCTCCCGCAGTTTGGTCAAACTCATGCTGGTAACCTCGAAAACACTATCCAACCATCTCGTCCTCTGTCTCCCCCTTCTCCTTGTGCCCTCCATCTTTCCCAGCATCAGTGTCTTCTCCAGGGAGTCTTTCTCTTCTCATGAGGTGGCCAAAGTACTGGAGCCTCAGCTTCACGATCTGTCCTTCCAGTGAGCACTCTGGGCTGATTTCCTTAAGAATGGATGCGTTTGATCTTCTTGCAGTCCATGGGACTCTCAAGAGTCTTCTCCAGCACCATAATTCAAAAGCATCAATTCTTCGGCGATCAGCCTTCTTTATGGTCCAGCTCTCACTTCCATACATCACTACTGGGAAAACCATGGCTTTAACTATACGGACCTTTGTTGGCAAGGTGACGTCTCTACTTCTCTAATTCTAGATAGCTAAATTCAAAGCAATCTTCTTTTACAAGATGGGCCATAATGCTGTGATGGTGATAATCCTCTGTATTTCTGCTCAGATTCCCCAAGTTAAGCAAAATGTGTGTTTAGTTAGGAAAACACTCCACCACCTTAAGCATCTTTCTGTAATGTTTTACAGCACTGATATAATAATAATAAAAATAAAAATAAATTTTATTCATATCCC